TAGTTGGACTTGTAAATATTTTTTTCTGATCCCACCACACTTTATATAGAGAAATAGTATTTCTTCATATTGTTACTTTTTTTGCTTGCTTTTGTGCTTATTGCTCATAATGTTAAATGTTTGTTAGTCTCTTCTTTCTCTGGTCACCTTCAGTGCACATGTTTCTTCATTATTTCAGTAACTACCTTCTCATTGTTCCGCCTTCATTTCTCAAATCCATGCTTATCAGTTATCCCTCTGTATGCATCAGTGATCAATATTTCTCTTCAGCCTCATTATTTTTTTTCGAGAGTACGCCAAAGGCTTACCTTAGCTTTATAGAAGGAAGGAATAATATTTACAAGTCAGCCTCATTATTTCATTAAGTCCCTGCTCTACCCAGCCTTCATAAATTCAGTATGCCCCTGCTCATTATGTATAAAGTCTTTTTTGAGCATTCTTATTTTTTATCTTTTTGTTTCACCAGCAGGTTTAATTACTAACCAGAGGAAGTTTCTTCTCCCACTTCTTCAAGGAAGAACAAGGTTCCAACTTCGTTTTAGCGCACGTTGTTTCAGATGTGTTATGTAATAGTACTACATAGAAGAGTTTTTTGCTTCAAGAAGTGTTATGTAATAGTACTATGTATTTTCTGAAAATAGTTCGTTCTGTTCTGTTTTTTTTCCACTAGACATTGATGCTATTTGTGCTTCTTTAGCAATGACACCATAGTCAGTTTGCATTTTCTGTCTTTTAGCTACACTAAGCCTTTGATTTGTTTGTACCATTAGGCTGTAGGGAAATATTACTATATGTAACATGTATTTTTTTTGTTCTTATAAGATATTGTTTCTCATTTCTGAAATTTATTTCTTGATGCAGCTTCATTCAGATTTATGTGAATATAAGCGTAAGAGGTCCAGTGGGAATGATACAAAATAATTTCAGACGTGAGTATCCGGATCGCATTGCTACTGGTCTTCTCTTGCGACTGCGTGCAGCGGGCTTTTGACAAAGCCAAGTCATGGCCTCATGAGGATGCTTTTGGATTAACTGTGGTGCATTGTACCGGTTTATGCTCCATGCGAGAGTTGTACATATCCTCGTTAGATGTACCCCTGCTTATGATGGTTCTGAACTCAAATATTATAGTATCTGTATATTTGATCAATGTGGTACTATTATATCCTAATGTTATAACATATGCCCGTATTGATATACATGAGTGAGATTAAAGACAAAACATGGCAGCTCAATGTGTTGAAACAAGATAAGTGCGCATAGGCCTGCCTCAGGCGGCGCCACCAGGTGGCGCCCCAACCTCTAGTTGAAGTATCAAAAGGCACCAGATACTCAATATGAGAATGGGAAGGTGTTATTTCGGACGCAATCAACAACTCCGTGTGAGAAGGATGTTTAACAGAACAAGATACATAGATGCAGTGAAATAAAATATAGGCACTTTCAGCAGATATTCTTCCTACAAGCGAGCAGCACTGTCAATTTATCTGAAGTTCCAAAACACTACAGCAAGCATCATCGTCTCCTTGCTCCAAATGTGAAGTGGTAATCACGTCAAAATAAAGAATGTGAAGTGGAAAACAAGAGCACATCACCTGACACTTTTTGGAGTGACACACTATTGTATGAAATGCTCGACAGCAGCCCTATTTTTGGGCACAAAAAACATGTGGAGTAAAAAAAAAATAGGTCACAAAAACGCTTTTTTGGCACCAGCAAACGCCGTCTCCAACAGCAGACCTATAACAGAGCACAAAATAAAAATAAATAAAAATTTGGGCACGAAATATGGCAAAACTGCTCCAACAGCTACCCTAAAATAGGGCGAGCGGCTCCAAGCATATCGGGGTTGGTAACGGGGTCCGAGGAGCCGGCCATGGCGCGCGGCGGCTGGCGGGCGGGCGGATCCAAGGGTTTCCGGCCACGGGCAGGCGTCTGGAAGTAGCCTCGTGTTTTTGGGCAGCCGCCCAACTGCCCTATATTTGTTGCACGAGGAGCCTCTTTTTTGGGCTGCCAAAAAAATTAATTTTCTCTTAGGATTGGGCAGATGTTGGAGGCTGATTGTTTGCCCTCTCGTGCCTAGAAACGCCGTGTGCTCAAAAATAAAACTGTTGTTGAAGATGCTCTAACTGTTATAAGATGTTTCTGCAAGCTAACTTAGCTTGCAAAAACATCTTACGTTATGGAGGGAGTATTCTGCGTCAAGATTTGGAAACCACAATAGGTCGTGCCCTGAAACCGAATGATAAAGGTAATAGGTTAGAAATAGTAAGCAAAATAATCCAAGTAGCTCATGAGGTGGTGCACAAAAGCTGAGCACTTGCACATTATCACATAAGTTTTTTTTTTGTCAAAACCCAATTGCTTTTGTATCCATATAAATCCATACGAAGTATATAAGCTAGTCCCTAGCATTTCATTTAGGTCAGTATACTGGGTAGCTGGATGCATTTGACTATCAGCAAACTTGGAACTACTACATGCAGCAGTAAAACTGAACATTTGCTTGCACTGGTTAAACATGCGAACACTAAAATACTCCCTCTATATTGGTTGTAATAAGGGCATCTCCAACACTGGCCCTCAAAATGGACACTGTATATGTCCGCGGACGAGCACGGTCGCATCCGCGGATAGTGATATGAAAATCGGCCATCCAACCATACCCGCATACATTTTAAATCGGATTTCAACAAATCAGACAAATCACGGAGGGAGAGGTTGTACCACTGCTCCTTATGCACCTCCCGGACCACCGAGAACGGTTGTGGCGTTGGTTGTCCTGCGCCATGGCATCATTGAAGTGAGCATGTGCATGCTCCATTGTGAAGCCGACATGGAACAGCTCGGGCTGAAGCACCGACTCACGTCGGAGCCCTTCTCCATCGTTTGGTTGTCATCAGAGACCTCAAGGGAGCTGGCCGGCAAGCCGTCCTCAATCTGCCTAGCACGGCGGCCCTACCATCCAATGCAAGGGCGGCCAACTCGTTGTTCGGCTCCGTCAAGAGGCTCCCCCACAACGTTAACGCGCTAGAGCTCACGGTCATGGCGGAGGTGGAGTATGGAGGAGGATGTGAAGTGGGCCCTGGTGTGGTGCAGTTTGTGTCGGGCGTGGCCTCGTTTAAATAGCGGATGACGGCCAGGCTCAGCAGCGGAGTGTGTCATTGTGAGCGCCGGAGTAGGTTTCTCGGTCGGCGAGCCTGTTTAATGATGGCAGGCAGATAGGCCGCCAACCTGTTTGAATGCGGTAGATATCCGTATCATCCCGTCTAGTATTTAACAGGCGCGGACACCGGGATGCGGTGATGGCGGCGCTCTGGGCCGGCGCGCCGCTTCAGGGTTAGCACTAGTTAGAGGTCAAGTCCGCTCTGGGCCGACATGAATGTGGCGATGGCACTCTGGAAAGGCATGAATGCGCGGCAAATGCTTCACCCGGTAGAGGGGGCGGGCGAGGGAGAGGGTTTTGGGGTGGGTCCGGGGTGTCGCACGCATGCGTGGCAGAGGTGCGAATGCCCGTAAAGCGCCCTGATTTGCCTCCGGTTTGCGGGAAAACGAACGTTTAGACCGGTCCGCAGACCGACGGGGGTGGTCAGCCCGTTTGAATGCGGTAGATATCCATCTCGTCCCGTCTAGTAATGTCTCTCGGCATTTAACAGGCGCGGACACTGGGATGCGGCGCGGGCGGCGCTCTGGGCTGGCGCGTCACTTTATTGTCGGACTAGTTAGAGGTCATGTCTGCTCTGGGCCGACATGAATACGACGCTAGCACTCTGGAATGACATGAATGCACGGCAAATGCTTCGCCTGGTAGAGGGCGCAGGCGAGGGAGAGGGTTTTGGGTGGGTCCGGGGTGTCGGTGTGGCAGATGTCCGAACGCCCGTAAAGCACCCTGGTTTGCCTTGGATTTGCGAGAAAACGAACGTCCAGACAGGTCCGCAGACCAACGGGGTGCCACGTCGGATGGCAAAACACGTCCACACTGCCCGGTCCGAACATATGCCCTAACATCTTATATTAGAGAACGGAGTGAGTACTCAACACTTATTGTCTTTTATCCGGTGCATTTATTTAATAAACTATCGGCACAATTCCTTTGTATCCTTCCAAAGAAGGAAACATAAATGAATGATGTAGTAGTACAACAAGGCACAACTATTTAGTTCACCAATTTATACACCGTGAAACTGCTATTGGCATCATCTTCAAGCGCAATTGGAGTAGTCGAATGGATATGCACCTCACTACTGAATACAGATAAACTAGGGTACGACACTGTTTAACGTTCTCTTATCACTGCTGTAGTTTGAACTGGCTATATAAGCAGATGTCCTGGAAATGAGAAGAATAATAAGGGAAAACAATTATCTCTATGTCATCTGTAGTCAACACTAAAGATAACTGAAGGTCCTTTTCATAATCTGAAATAACACGCAAGAAGGTTAACATTGGGAACAGGTATCTATTGTCAGTTCTGATGGTAGAAAGACCCCTAGCCTGCTGGGCCGCAATGATACATCACCACACAACAAGGCATGTAAAAGCATCACTCGCTGGGTTGCTTCGCGGTCAGCCCCTTCATGCGTATTGCGTAGCATCAAGACCTCCGAACCGGCGCACTCACTTATTGAGTTACTGCTTATAACTCATCAACATTTGTGCGGAATATGTAATCCTCGCTTTCGAGCTCTTCATGCAGCATATTGAAGCTTGGAGCAGCAGGTAATGTAACTTGGTGACCGTTGGACTCTGGTGACCTTTTGCCCTAAGAGATTTAAGAAAGAATAAGATGAAGAGCAAGGATTTTTGCAAGGAAATTGATAGTACATAGACTCGAGATGTAACAGAGCAATGCACTTATTCAGTGGCATCACAACTACAAGGAAAAAGCGAAGGGCTCAAATGAAAACCAAATGCTTCGCAAACATTAAACCTTCTGAAGGGTGTAGAAGAAATAATGGAAGCCATCACCAAAGGTGTTCCACTCAACAGACCATGTAATCTCAGGTGCTTCGAAAAATCGACGACGGAAGTGTGGCTGCCAAATAGGAAGTGGAAATTTTAGAAAAAGAAGTAAAGCTGCTAAACAAATACATCACAGTTCATGACCAGTCCCACTTGCTCTTCTCTTCATGATTACTAATTAAAGACAATCTTTAATTCTTTATATATATCAAGTTCATAACCGTTGTGTGATATTGCTAAACAAAAGGTATATCCTTATTTAGTATAACCTCCATTTCAAATTATAAGATGCTTTGGATATTTCAATATGGACTACATAGAGGACTGAAATGTGTGAGCAAACACACTAAAACGCGTCTATATACACCTGGTTCAGAACAAAGTTAATGCATCTTTCAATTCGGAACAGATGGAGTACTTATGTCCAGTGCACAAATAACATACCCACAAACCCAGAAAGTGGATATTATTGGGACATGCAAAGAAACACGTCTGAAATACAAAAGCAATGACAAATGAAGGGCATGAAAGAGGGATTCAGACAATTGGATCTCCCAAACCTGTCCAAAGGTAATTGATACAAATTTGCCATCTGGCTTCAAAACCTTGTGGATACCTTCAAGCATTTTGGTTACATTATCCACTGTTGTAGGATTGGGGTTCCATGGATCACCACTGTCCACAAACAACACATCCTGTCAAAGGATATTTCTGTATAAGTCTATAGGCAGTATCTAATAATCTAATCACAAGATGACAAAAATATCTAAGCACAAGTTTGGATGCTATGAAAGAACAGAGGTGTTAGGATAAGTCAGCAGACATAGTGCATCTTTCTGAGTATTTTTTAAGGTGCTGAGTTAAGTATCTTGATTGTTCGAATCGACTCCTTTTCCCTGGTTGTGCAGCTATCCTAACAGAAAAAATTTTAGGTAATTATCAAGACAACATGCAAATGCAACCACTTCATTGGTCACTATGTTGTGTTAAACAACTTGTATATTTATCGCATTTGACAACCACACAAACGAATTTTTAACATAGTCAGTAACTATGTTTATACTGGACTTCCGCACACATGGGCCTGTCTTCCGCAGCTTTATATATGTGAATGACTGAATGGCCATTCGGATAAGGATAGCAGTAACACAGTACTGTAAATAGCTCCCAGGGTCATCTGAAATTCTGTAATAGATGCAATTGTGCATTTCCACTAAAACGCCCAGTAATACTATCACAAACCACCGGTACTACATATCTCAACGATCTTGATAATGTGTTAACCGTATAGAATCATGTTGTTAATATAACAAGGGCAGTACACTATTAGCTAAGACAGTCTATCTGCACACACTTGAACAACATTTGGCATTGAGGCGGATTACAATAATCTTGTTGGCCTAACAAGCTTTTGCTTATTTTATCGTTTGACTAACTAACTTTTTCCTATTTCTTCGGATATTTTTCCTCAGCAGACTGTACAATGACATCCACTCCAGCCTCTTGGAAAAATTCCTATGTTTTTTCCTGTGACGCAATCAAACAAACTCAAATCCTGTAGGATTTGGATGGACATGACATTCCATTCCTGCATTTATCCTATTCCTACGTTTTTACAATCCTGCGAATCAAATAGGCCCTGAGTTCACGACAGCACAGTTCAGCAATGCAAACCAAGTCATGTTGAAGGTGATATTATTGGCGGCATGTCAAATGCAGGTGTGACCAGAAAAAAATTCAGTGTTCCAATACACAGTACTAATATGCAACCACAACCTTTGTTGGTTAATATGCTTGTTCTTTCGAATTGCAATTAACATTAAGCATAACATAGCTTAGAAAATATGATAGCACAAAATATTGATAGGTTGGAACACTGGGAGGCATCAAAGTCTGCAACACGCATACCATGGTCCCTTTCTCGATCACAAGGTCGAAGCTCTCGCTCTCGAACGGAAGGTCAAGCATGTCAGCCACCACCACATCCACACCTTCAGGAAGCAGAAGGCAATTTCTCACTCAAACGGCCAAACGTTGGTGGTAACAAACATGCAGAAAGTAAATTCCCGGCCAAACAGGTGAACTGACCACTGGTGCCCTGCTCCGCCAGTCTGTCGCGCATCCTCTGGACGGCGACCGGCGAGAGGTCGATGCAGGTGACGCCGCCAGTGACGCCCTCCCTTAAGAGCTCCTCCCCGAGCCGCGAATTGCCGCAGCCGACCTCCAGAACCTGCGCAGAAATGCAGAACGCGCGACAAATCAAGGTACAGTTCAAATTCAGGAACTCGCGAATTAAGATCCACGGAAGTGATGTGAAGAATTGGGGGAAGAGGCGGGGGGAGCACGAACCGAGAGGGAGGGGGAGAGGAGCGGGGCGAGGAGGTGGCGGAAGTGGGAGAAGTCCTTGAACCACTCGTAGTGCTCCTCCTTCCCGAACCGCCCGTCCCTGCGAAGCCACGAGCGAGCTGCGTGAGTCCGCTGCTCCCTGCGCGGTTTGGAGCTCGGGGGAGCAGAGCGGGGTGATAAGGACTCGTGAGCCACCAGTAGGAGGGGTCGAGGTAGCCGGATGCGGTGCACGGGGCGACGTCGTCCGCCATCGCCGCCGCGTGCCGTGTGCGGGCGCTTTGCTTGGCGGCCTCTGGCGCTGGTGCAGCGTGTGCGGGTAGGCAGGGTGGTTCGTTGAACCCTACGAGGTTCGGGGACGTCTGATCAAAACCTAGGACGGTTCGGGGATTTGACCCGGGTCCTACTCTTACCCAGCGGTTCACTAACTTACTTAGAGCATGTCTAACATAGTCCTCAAAAACTCAACCTTCAAAATCAGTTTGAGGGCTGATAAATGTCGTTTTGAAGCCGAAAATCTCTATTCTGTTTTGAGGGTTGGTTTGAAGGCACTGATCTGTGCCCGGCCTTCAAACCTTCAAAACAGGACAGCAACATAAATCACTCTCAAATTTGCAAATGATCATGATCACATACATGAAACAAACTTGCAAATCATCATCATCATCACATAGTAAATCCCATGAACATCATAGCAAAACATACAACGTGCAAATGGTCACCATCACATCAGAGACATCATTTGCAAAACATAAAACGTACGAACAACTTCAAGTACCGGTGAAGTTGTCCACACCTCCATCGCCTCCAGCACTCATCGGAGACTCACCTCGGGGAGTAGACGACGCACCACCACCAGCACCACGCAGTAGCCTCTTCTTGTCCGTGATGTTCTCCTTGTACTCCTTCCACCATGCCAATTGCTCTTCATCCATGTCCTTTCTAGACATCATCATGTGCTCCTTCTCCTCGGCCATGAGCTCCTTCCATGCTTTTGCTTCCTTGAGCTTGATCGTCCTCTCCTCCATGTCGGCCTTGCGCTTGGCATCTTCTCGCCTTGCTTCCAATTGTGCAAGTTTCACCTCTTTCTTCCTCTCGGTGATAATAAGCTTTGTCTCCAATGCCTTCGTTGTCAATGTCTCCTTTGACTTGATCATTTGATCAATCTTTTCCCTCAAGCTTGATGCCTCCGCTTCCATCTTCATCCTTTCTTTTCCCTTCCTGGTTCCCTCGGGCTTGTCATGATTTCTTCCTTCTTCATCACTATCATCCATTTTGAGCATATCCGATTTCTTCGGTGCACTCTCTTGATCCCTCAATTTCCATTTGTCAAGATGTTGGAGCAATGCCCAACAATGCTTGAATGGGAAGGATTTTCCCTTGGAACCGGCCATGTCCTTGTACCTCAAGTCGGCATATTTCTCCTAAAACATATCATCATTGGAAGCATATCAAAATCACAACCAAGCATAACCAACAAGTAAATAAAGCATGAACCAACAAGTAATAAGCATGATATTTGTACTCACATAATCACTCTCAACGCAGCCACTTGGGGGTTGATCCCTCACTTGATCCATAGCCGCACTCCAACGAGCACAAGCGGGTTTCATCAACTCCCACCGGCCTTTGAAGCGATCTGTAAGAACGAGCTCTCAATGTGGCAGTCTTGGGTTTCAGCTTGCAATACATGTCCTCAATGTGTTTCCAATAACGTTTCCTGGTTTGATCGGTGTCGGTGACCGCATCCAACCCCACTTGCGACCAAGCCTTGACCAAGAGGACATCTTCAACCTCCGTGTAGTTCGCCGTGCAAATTGGCCTTCGAGCACCACCTCCCGCTTCAAACACTTCCTCTCCGATCTTGGTGACATCTTCATCTTCTTCCTCCTCCTCACCCGCCTCCTCCTCCTCACCTGCCGGCTCCTCAACATGGAAGTCGAAGGAAGCAAGTGGGGGAGACCCAATGTTCACCTCCACGTCATCGAGCCAGGCCCTATATGAAACGATTGGTGCGGACATTTCATCTAACACGTCGGGCGCGGTTGGCCGCGTTGGAGCGGCCGTGCTCGGCGGTGGCGGTGGCGGTGCCGCGGTATGCTCTGCCCCCCACTTGTGGCTTGCAAGCTGCTTCTCCTTGCGCTTGGGAGCAGCCGCGGTGGAGGTTGCCGGTTTCGCCGCCTTCACCGCTGGGGCGGGCACGGGCGGCTTGCTTGGCACGATGTGGGTGCCCGCCCGCCTCTGTTTTTGGCCGATGTGGGTGGCCGCCACCATCTCCGCCACGGCGGCGTTGGTCGAGGTGGCCGGAGGCGGGAGGCGCAGGGCGGGGGCGGGAACGGGCGTGGCCACGGGCGCAGGCGCGGATGAAGCCAGCGGCGGAGGGGGTGGACGGGGGCTGGAGGGGCTCCATGGCCGGCGGCGGCAACAAGAATGGATGGCGGCGGCGTGGATGAAGCCGGCGGCGGGGAGAGGAGGCTTGGGAATTTTCCCTCTCGCGCACAGAGTTGACCAAGTGAGGGTTGTGCCTTCAACTTGCCCCAAACCCTCACTAGTGCAGGTTGGCCTCGAACTTGAGGGTTCGAGCTGGAAATTTTTTGAGGGTTTAGGGATTTGAGGGTACTGATCTGCACCTTTTTTTTGCTCAACCCTCAAACTGTCACTTATTTTGAGGGTTTGACCAGTTTGAGGGCTCTGTTAGACATGCTCTTAGACCAACTCTAACGCGCCGACCCAACGGCGGAATTTATTTTTTTCGTCCTTTTGAATCTGTCGTATAGAATGGCGTTCACCCTTTATTCATGTCAATGTGCGCCCAATTAGCCAACCCATTTGGTCCGCCTCACCGGGTTTTTTCGCATTGGCTCGATGAGATATCTCCTCGTGAAACAATGGTTCATCCTCGATGTAGACACCGCCTTGGCCTTGGTTGTCTTTGTCTTGAGTTTCTTGGCCTTGTGTATCTTTGCCTTGGTGGTCGCAGGCGTCTTGGTTGCGATCGTCTTTGCTATGAGTCTCGTCGGCATCATACCCTAGGCCACCCTTATTGATCATATCCTCCATGAAAGCATTTGTAGTACGTTGGGTCGACCAACATCGGGGTTGACATACCATCAAATAGGTTGCGGGCATCGGAATGTTACCCGTGAGGATCACCAGCGGGCGCTTTCTTTTGCGTCCCGGTGGACTGGTCACCCTCAGGTGTGGCGTTGAGATCATGGGGAGGCACCACGGGGACGACCGACAAGGAAGGGGCGGTGGCAGGGTTGGGCACGTTGCCCATGGCGGGCCGGTTTTGGGAGAGAAATGGTCGGAATGGAAACGATGCATAGGGGCGCCGCTACATGTCCGCACTGACGCAAAACCGACCCAAATTTGGGTCAAAATGGGTCCAAGCAGACAAGAAAACGGCTCCCTGCATAGTTTGGAGCTCAGGGGAGCAGAGTGGAGTGATAAGGACTTGTGAGCTACCAGTAGGAGGGGTCGAGGTAGCCGTATGTGGTGCACGGGGTGATGTTGTCCGCCATTGCCGACGCGTGCGGGGTGCTTTTGCTTGGCGGCCTCTGGCGCTGGGGCAGCGTGTGCGGGTAAGCAGGGTGGTTCGTTGAACCCTACGAGGTTCGGGGACGTCTGATCAAAACCTAGGATGGTTCGGGGATTTGACCCGGGTCCTACTCTTACACAGTGGTTCACTAGCTTACTTGCGCCAACTCTAACGCGCCGACCCAACGCGGAATTTATTTTTTCATCCTTTTGAATCTGTTGTATAGATGGCATCCGTCCTTTATTCATGTCAATGTGCGCCCAATCAGCCAACCCATTTGGTCTGCCTCGCTGTTTTTTTTTTGCATTGGCTTGATGAGATATCTCCTCGTGAAACAATGGTTCATCCTCGATGTCAACACCGCCTTGGCCTTGGTTGTCTTTGTCTTGAGTTTCTTGGCCTTGTGTATCTTCGCCTTGGTGGTCGTAGGCATCTTGGTTCCGGTCGTCTTTGCTATGAGTCTGGTTGGCATCATACCCTAGGCCACCCTTATTGATCATCTCCTCCATGAAATCGTTCTAGTACGTCGGGTCGTTGATGTCTGCTAGAACTACGTCAGTATTTCCCCAAAGAGGAAGGGATGATGCAGTATAGCGATGGTAGGTATTTCCCTCAGTGATGAGACCAAGGTTACCGAACCAGTAGGAGAACCTCCTCACACCACGTAAACAGCACCTGCACACAAATAACAAATACTCGCAACCCATGTGTTAAAGGGGTTGTCAATCCCTTTCGGGTACGGCGCCTCAAGATAGACAAATAACGTGAGGTAAAAGTGGTAGATGGGGTAAATAGATCGCGGAACAAATAAATTGCAGCAAGGTATTTTTGTATTTTTGGTTTAATAGATCTGAAAATAAATGCAAAGGGAAATAGATCGCAAAGGCAAATATGATGAAAAGAGACCCGGGGGCTGTAGGTTTCACTAGTGGCTTCTCTCGAGAAAAATAGCAAACGATGGAAAAAAATTACTATTGGGCAATTGATAGAACTTCAGATAATCATGGCGATATCCAAGCAATGGTCATTATATAGGCGTCACGTCCAAGATTAGTAGACCGACTCCTGCCTGCATCTACTACTATTACTCCACACATCGACCGCTATCCAGCATGCATCTAGTGTATTAAGTTCATGAAAAAACGGAGTAATGTAATAAGAACGATGACATGACGTAGGCAAGATCCGTTTATCTATTGCAGAGATATAGATCTCATCTTGTTATCCTTAGTAGCAACGATACATACGTGTCGGTTTCCCTTCTGTCACTGGGATCAAGCACCGTAAGATCGAACCCACTACAAAGCACCTCTTCCCATTACAAGATAAATAGATCAAGTTGGCCAAACAAAAACCCAAATATCAGAGAAGAAATATGAGGCTATAAACAATCATGCATATAAGAGATCAAAGAACACTCAAATAACTAACATGGATAAAAACATAGATCTGATCATAAACTCAAAGTTCATCGAATCCCAACAAACACACCGCAAAAAGACTTACATCATATGGATCTCCAAGAGACCATTGTATTGATAATCAAGAGAGAGAGAGAGAGGAAGCCATCTAGCTACTAACTACGGACCCATAGGCGCCAATGGAAGTGGTGAACCCCTCCATGACGGTGTCTAGATTGGACCTGGTGGTTCTGGACTCTGCGGCAGCTGGAGTTGATTTTTGTCGGCTCCCCTAGGGTTTCTGGAATATTGG